TGAGAAATTCCTTAGCCCTCTATTTGTTGCTATGAAATTTATAGAAGTCTTTTATTGCTTTTTACAGCAGTAGACAGATTAAACTATGCTTGGACTTTGGTCCTTCCAGATTTCTCCCTGCCTCACCTTATGACATTCTTGAAGAACCTCTGAGTTGCCTGCACCTTCTTCCAAAGCTCATAAAGTCTCCTTTTCATGCCTGAGTTCTAGTCAAGGCTCAATGTTTAGCCAGACAAGTTTGCTTCCCCACTGGCATATATTTCAGCATATTGGTTCTGCCGTTTCCTTTGCCTTTATAATTTCATCTTGAAGAATGTCCAGCCTCCCTGAACTCCTTTACCATTCAGGACTAATGCCCAAGGGATCCTCTCAGTCAATCTCCTGTATGGGCCAAAGTCTACCCTCTGGAAGTCCAAGGCTGAAGTTTTGCTAACTCCCATTCTTCTCAGAGAATTGAAAACTTTACCATTTCATGATCACTGTGCCCAAGGCAGCCTTCAACTATCAGATCCCCCAAAAGTTCTTCTCAGTTCACAAACAGGAGCAGCAGGATGCCTTCCCTAGCTGGCTTATTCACCAGCTGTATTGGGAAGTTATCTTCAACACAATTCCAGGAGTCTCAGACTGTTTCTTGTCTACTGTGTTGTATTTCAGCAGACATCTGGTAAGTTTTAGTCCCCCACAAGAACAAGGGCTAGTGATTGGGTTACTTCTCCCTGCTGCTTATAGAATATTTCCTCTGCCTCTTCATTGAGATTTTATGGTCTATAACAGACTGCCACCAGGATATCTGCCTAGTTGTCCTTCCCCCTGGTTCTTATCCATAAGCAAGTAACCCTATTAGCACCATCATTAAACTAATTGCTAAGTAAATGATGAAAACACTCCCTAATATATAAGGCTCACCATTTCCTCTCCCTCCTTGCTTATGCCCCCCAAAGAGTTAAAAACCATTCACTGCAACATTCCAGTTGTGAGAATTGTCTCAGCCACTCTCTGTGATGATAGCTGTAATAGTTTCCCTTCCATGCAGTGACTTCCAGATCTCTTGTTTGTTGCTGTGTGCATTGGAGAGGATGCACTTCTGTTGGGTTGCTGATCTCACCATCCTCTGGAGGGAGAAAGCCTGCTTCCTTTGTGATTATTATCAGTTATTTCCATTGTTTCTTGCATGTCAGTAACCCTTTTGTCTTCATGGCTGACTTGATGCCCACCCCCTACTTCCACTGAGAAGGCAGACTGCAGTGCCTCTCTAGTACACTGTACTCAAACCTTGGCATGCCTCCTCCAGGCCTGTATCTAGAGCTTGGGTTTATTGCTTTTCTCCCTCAATGCCAGTTTAAAGGGTTTTTAATGAGGTCTGCTAACTCCTTTCCCCCCTTTGAAACAGGTGTGTTCTATCTGCTGCCAGCATGTTCGGTGTTGTGCAAACCAAACCGTGATCAAAACCCCAATTTCTGCTGGTTAGTTCAGCTAAATGTTCATCTAAACAGAGACAGAGATATTACAGATGAAGAGTATGTAACATAAGAAAATAGATTCCCAGTGCAGTAAACAGAAGAAAGTTGGTGAGCTTAACAATTGATCTCAAAGAGAATACTAGGTATGGTAAATGTACTAATAAAATTTTCCAACCTCCTTACCCTGGCATTCTTCACACTTAAAAATAAAGAGACTTAGACAAGTCCTCCTTGTCCCACATTTGCATGGCTCTTTCTTAGAGAAATTAGATTACACACTAGCTTGAAGTAAATTCATGCAGTTAATATATTTATCTTTAAAGAAACAGATGGTCAATTTAGTATTTAAAATACAGTTTAAAAATTTTAGTCTTAAATGAGTTTCAGTCTGTTATTTGTGGGTTTGTGTCTTATAAATACTATTTTAAATATAAGATAAATGAAATTTAAGTTTACTATACATAATTGAAAACAAACAAACACCCTGCCTTGTCCCCTCACCCCCCAAAATGTGTATTTTGTTCCATCCGTCATGCTTCTCTCTTCTTTCTCCCTGTTATAAATTTCTGGAGTGTTTAAACACTGTGCCTTGCAGCAAATTTGTTAGCAGCAGTTTTATTGCATTCATATTGCATCATTATTTTTTTGCCACAAGTCAATAACTCAGTCTTTCATTTTTTCATTTGCTTGATTCTTTAAAAAACAGGAAAAATGGAGAAGTGTTTGTCACAACCATTTTGTTTTCACCTTTTTTCTTATTAAGCTGATTGAAATTGGTTTACCCCAAGTATGCTCCTCCTACCAAAGTGTGTATTTATTGAGAAGTTTTCAGAACCTACAAGCAAAAGAATAAGCATTGCCATAGCAAAGGATGTTATGTGGGCACTGGGTACAAAACAGGATTTAAGCACTGTATTTTTAAGGGAACATCTCAGACTTCACAGAAGAAAAATTATTTAATAAGTATTACTATATATATACTAACCTACATACTAATGCATACTATACATACTAATGTATACTGCTGCAGATTTTTTTTTCTTTTTGTTTATTTACCTTTCAAATTTTGACCTTGGCTGTCCTCTTTGGGCTGCATTCCAAGTGACTGAATCAAATTTTCCTTGTTCTATCAGCCAAACGAGTGGGATATGGAGAGGAAGAAGAATTGGATTCCAAATGGATCTATTTTTTCTCAAAGAGAAAAATGAAGAGCTCAAAAGTACAAGAAAGGCAGAACACAAAACTAATATTCTTTGTTCTCTTAAAAGGAAAAGGAAATAAATTAGAAATGCATTTAAAATAAATCTCTACTTCTGTCTCTTCCCTCATAACACCCTGATACAGAGATCATTCATGTCTCTCTAAAATCTTGAGGGAACTTCTTTGCCACTTGTAGTCAGTTTATCACAGCTACAGTCCCTCAGGAAAAACAAGGAAAGATGAAATTCTTTCTGGAGCTGATGAGTGCATCTGAGAGGCTCCACAACAACCCAGAGGGGCTTGCCCCTTAGTGCTTGGCACTGCTTCTGCAGTATTGCTAGGCTAGAGGCATTTTTAGCAGAACTGCCCACAATTTCTAACAATTCCAGAAGTCCATTTTTGCAAGTAAATTCCCCTAAATAAGAGGTACCAATTATTAGATGAGAAAATATTAAATGTGCATGGATTGCAAATGGTGTAAAATGAAGCCAAATAACATAAATGCCTGATTTCTTGTTCATTCTGCATCATGGGAAGACTAGTGAAGGTAATGTATCAGTGATCACACTGAAAAAAATTTAAAGAAATAAAATAGAAAAGAAATAATTTACTAAACTAATATGAGAGAAACAATTACTTTGAAAAAGACTATACATTAGGTATTTCATTTTAAGGCAAATAAAATGCAACACAGTTGTCAGAAATATTGTTGTTCTCAGATTTAGTCTGTGGTTTTACTTATTTTTTTGAGGGAAAAGCTTATTATTTAGCCTTTCTTTTTGGGCAATTTTCTTTCCTTGTTTATGTGTTAAATACTAATTGTTTTTGTTTGTTATTCTTGTAGTGAGTCTTTCTAGTCTACTGAATCTACTATTTATACCTGACATGTATTCCTTGCTCCCTGAATATCTCTCTGCATCAGATTCCAAATGAAGCTTGCTCCTGGAAACACTCCAAATTATTATGACTGTCGAATATAGCTGAAACAACAGGGTTCCAATTTTAAAAACTCACTATGAAATTCTTATTTTAGTCTCTTATGTTTATAAAAACCTGTAATTCAGAATTGGGGCATGCAGGTCTCCTTATATTCTTATTAAATCAAATAACTGGGTAAGCAGTTCAATATTGTAGGAAGGGTACTATGTTAGTAAATGTCAGTACTTGGACTGATTCATGATGTTATACTCTTCATCATTCGCTCAGTTGCAATGTTTTCTTCTATATTTGTTCTGTGTGCAGACAGTGTAGGCACAGTAAATGATCTGCAGAATATAGATTTTCTTTTGTCTTGATTGGTTTCTAGAGTGGAAGAGTCCTTAAAAAGAAACTTCTAATACTGTACTTGTCAAAGTTGCATAAAAAATAAAAGACAAAGTTGGAGAGAAAAATAAAACCCCGAGGGACCAGAACAAAACTGAAAATGGATGAATGAGAACAGAAAATTATATTTTAAAGCACTACACATGTTAGAAGGGAAAAAAAAAAAAAAAAAAAAAAAAGAAAGCCTCAAAGACTGAAAGCTAGAAAATTGAGTGAAAGACAAAAATAATTTTTTTATTAAGACAGAAACATAAGGTGATGTGTGGGTCTTTGCAAGGTTTGTGGATATAGAATCAATCTTTAGGCTGGATCATTGCAAACGTTTCTTTGAACAAGCACGCAACTAAGTTTGTTATGATTCTGGGCAGATAAAAAGAGGGAAAGTGCTTTTGCCTGAAGAACTAGTGAACGTAAGTCCAATAGTACATCTGGAACAAACGAGTTTAAACGTATACTGTTTCTGGCCCAAGATGAAACTTGTCTTTCTGTGTTCCTGTATCCTCAGAGTCTGCAGAAAAGATTCAGCTGAAGAAATGCACATAAAAAATATCTCACAAACAAAGAGCAAACAAGCATTGCTGGTGATTCCAGATTTATGTAATAGCCAGGTGGGTGCTGTTATGTCTGAGATATTCTCTACAGCTCTTGTGAACCTGAAAATTTCACCCTGCATTTCCATGAACAATAACCATCATTAGTAAGCCCCATAACATGGCAAACTAAAGTGTAGAGACTTGTTTTTCATAAATTAACGTTGGGTTAGAATTACTTCAGTTGTGAATTGAATGTATAAAATCTAGCTATTAAGCAGAAAGACTATGCAATCTGCCTTAATCAATATTTGTTGGGGGGTTAGAATATAAGAAAAAGAAAGATAGTGTATAAAGTAATCTTAACCCTAAGGAGTTGCAGCTGGGCCAATTATCAAAGATTAGGAACAGGCCTGACCTTAACAGGCCACAGCTGTAACCAATGAGAAGAAGAGTGTTATAAAAGAATGGAGTGACTGGGTGAGAAGGGAATTGGAATCAGTTGGCTGCTTTGTGAAGGAAAAAAGAGCGCTCTGAAGAGCTACCCCTGAGAAACACCGAAAGGTAGGAAACTTTTGTGCTAAGGGGACTGCAGTACGGGATCCCTGCAATAAGATGACAACAAATATTTATATATGCTATAGGTAGATATAATTTCCATCTTCAAACTGATTTTTGACAGTGAATCATATATGACAGTCATGCACACTTTGAACATTATCACAATGGTATTATTTAGGGAGACACTCAAAATGAGCACAGGAACCCAGTTTGAGTTATTGGTGAACATGTTAATAAAGCTAGGGTGGTCATCTGTTCCTGTGTATTTCGTGGAGGAATTTGGCTTAGGAAATGTTTTCTCTCCTAGAAAAGATAGTGCTGGCCAGTAGCTCTTCATTTGCCTCCAGCAAGAAAACTCCTGACATCTACCTCCAGCTGAATTACAGATCGAGCCAAAATGGAATACTGGCTCTCTTTGCAGCAAGACCATTTGTTTTAGTTTTGAACTCAACAGGGTTTTGCTGCTGTTACCTCTCACAGGGCAGAAATTCACCTGATTGTGTGTTGCTTGCCCATTTACATTCTGAGTTTGATAGGAGCTGGAGGGTATCCCCTTAGAGGGGGATGAAATCTACTTTGTATTTGCTGGATGAGCTGCCTCATGTGGAAACCAGGCCACGAGGGCAAGGTATCACTAGACATTGAATGCTAAGTGCTATCTTACCTCTCTGTTAAATGCAAACCCTTAAATACAAGTAACATATCTGTTTCCTGTACAGGGGGGAAACATAGCTAGGGTATTTTGAGACATATGGACAGACAGTCCTTCTAACAAAGGATTTCTTTGCATTCTGCTTGACTTTTATAACCTTTGTGCAATAGATGTGAGCTAACACCAGCAGATATTTAAATAAGGTTCATCTGGTGACGTAGTTTTGTATGTATATGAGTTTATCTCATTTTTGTGTTTTTTTTTTTTTTAGTAGCCCTAGGAAATTAAATATTCAGTTCAAGTTAGTTTATTTCTATAAGAAACAAATATCTTATTAAAAAAAGAAAATCAGGAAGGAACTAAAATGTTATACCTTTTAATAAGTATTTTACATTCTGTATGGTATTCAGAATGAAGCATCAATCATTATTACATATATAAAAGAAATACCTGCACTAGGTACTGTATGGGGAAGTCCTACCATACAATATCAAGGACAAAACCACACAGATAGAAAAAGGAATCTCAAACAGGCATTCAAGAGGGAAAATGAAAGTACAATGACTAAAAGTTGGTGAAAATAAGCAGTTTTTTATAATAGTGTAACACCATGTCAATCTCTGTATCAAAATTGTTTTAAAGAGTGTCCCAAAATTAAAATTTAAGTTAGAGAATTAATATGAAATGTACACTAATTTTTGTATTTATGTTACTCAAACATAACAAGAATACACATAATTATAGAATGGGTAATGTTAGAAGGGATCACTGAAAGTCAACTAATCCAATGTCCTCACTCCAGCAGGGTCCCCTGGAGCACACTACTCAGGATTGTGTCCAGACAGCTTTTATATATCTCCAGGGTGATGAACTGTCAAAAGAATTGCCAAGTAGACTGGGTCTACTTCCTTCTTGCCCTCTTTGATGACTGAGGTGACTTTGTTTTTTCCAGTCCTTATGCACTTCTGATCATCATGGCCTTTCAAAGATGATTGAGTGTGGTCCAGCAAAGATGTCCACAAGTTTCCTCAGCACTCTATGCATCCAGCTGGGGCCCATCGCTTTGTGGATGTCAAGTTTGACTAAATTCTTTCTATCCCAATCCTCATGAACAAAGAGTAAATCTTTCTTTTTTTTCAGGTTTTCTCCCTGATCTCTAGGGTGTATTCACGAGGCCTGCCTTTGGCAGTGAACACTTTAAGCTATTACAGTGAGTTGATGAAGGTTCCTCAGGGTGAGAGAGATGGACAAGACTCTTGCTTCATGATCAGAAGGCTGGACTTATTAATATATAATACATTATGACTATACTAATAGGAATAGAGAGAAAAGTTGCAGAAGCTGCTAAGCTAAGAATAGAATAGGAATCTAAGAACAAAGTTCTGTGTCCAGGCAGAAAGCAAGGACAAACTCTCCTGTGAGTGGTCAGTAAATCCAAACACTCACAGAAGACCAATCACAGATGCACCTATTACATTCCACAACAGCAGATACTAATTGTTTACATTTTTCTTCTGGGGCCCCAGCTTCCCAAAAAGGGTAAATCCTAAAAGAAAGGATTTCTATGAAAAGATGTCTGTGACATTTAAGCAGAGAAGGTGTTCAGTATCTCAGCCTTCTCTGCAGCCTCTGTTGAAAAGGTCCCTGTTCTATCCAGTTGGCAGACCTGCATTTTCCCTAGTATTTCTTTTGCTATTGGTGTTCTTAAAGAAGCTTTTTTTGTTATCCTTGACATACTTAGCCAGATTAATTTCAAATGGGCCTTGGACTTCCTCATTCTAGCCCATTTGTTAATGGGACAGTGTGAGCAGTAGGAAAGACCTATGTGAACACCTTTCAGCAATAAAGAAAACATTGGTGTGTTATCAACATAACTTTTAGATTTTTGCAAATCTAAAACATAGTACCACACAAGCTACTATGAAGAGAAGTAACTCTGTCCCAGCCAGAGAGTATACAGATGAAAATTCAGGCTTGTGACACATTTTCTGGGCTGCTTGTTTTCAGGAATATCTCTAATATGCATTAGAACTTTATTTTGAGCCTGAGAAAATGTTAATTGAACTGATACATCTCTACTAAACCACATTAGAGTACTTAATTAGTGTTTCTTAAAGAAAGGATGTAGGCATGAAATTAAAGGGTAGTCACAGGGGAAGCTTTTTGTCTACAATGTGATGTACATCCTGGGATTTTTACTGTGCTCTTTAATCAGGTTGTTGAATAAGTATATTTCTTGGTTTTAAAATAAGACTCTAAAGTTTTAAATTAACTGGGAGTCTTGTGGAACTTAATTCCTGACTGGTTTTTGTCCCTTCCTGTCAGATATTCATTCACCAAGGCAAACAGCTCTGGAGCAGGTGTGTTTCTCTGCAGAGAAGGGCATAGCGGCACACAGATGGGGGTTTCCTGAGACAGGGAAACCCCAGGGGAATGCTGAGATTTGCCAGGAGGCAGCAGCTTGCAAGGACACACCAGAGGGAGAGAATTCCCCTGAAGCCTGAGATGCCCTTGGAGAACTGCTTTGCTGCTCTGCATATTGAGGAGAAAGACCCATTCCATCAGAGAAAAATTGGAGCTGAGTTAGGCAGCGCAACCTGCTCGCCCTATAACAACCAGTGTGACTAAGAAAAGGCAATGGGTGAGAGGCACAGAAGCATCCATTTACTCACTTGATGATCTCCAGGGAGGTGTGCTTCCTATCAGGGTCTTGCTCAAGGGATGTCACTGAGACACTACCAAGGGCTAGAAATATATTAAATAATCATCCAAGAAACAACAGGCACATCAGGGAGCATTTAATTTCTTCTTCTCGTTTGTAATAAGTCAAGCAATAAGTACATATAGACAAAGTCCAAGAAAAGAACAGGAAAGTCAAACCTCAGTCAATTTTTAAAAATTGAAAAATACTGCTTGACCTTCCCTAATGCTGCTAACTTTCTTTAAGCAAGGATGACCAACACCATGGGCAGAGGTAATAAGCACATCTATCTTCTTTCGGTTTAATGGAAGCTGAAAGTGTCCCCAGCAATTGGAAGGAAAATATCTCAGAAACACAAAAGGAAAAATAAATAATAAAAAAACCAAAGTAGAGTTTAACAGAGAACATACTGAAAATCACAATAACAACCTAACCCAGCTTACAAGATGTCATTCATTCATACAACATCTTAGGCTTATCAATGTGAATATAATTACACCAAACTTTTTTTTAATGCTAACAGCAACCTTTACAAAAAAAGTTATATCTAAAATTAAGTGCTGCATATCTAGAAGAGTAAGTTGTCTCCTTCCTGCTTGAAAAATATATAATAGATTTCAGATTTGATTGCATATATATTATAAAAAATCTTGTTCCTGTTTATAAGTATTCACTGGAGAGTCCCATAATTGCTGCCAGACTTTTCCAAACCCAAGAAAGAGCAGATTTGGTTCAGCATAGCCTGAAGGTTGAAAACCACTGCTCTAGGCAAAAGACGTGGTGGTTGTTCATCTCTTAGCTTAGCCTATGTGTGCGTGTGCATGCAGCAGTCTGCACCAGTTTTAGCTGCAAGAAAAGAAAAACATTAAATTTCAAGATATTTATTTTTAGTCCAATACTTGAGGGTTAGTTTTGAGGTTTAATATTATTCAAAATCATCCTTGTTTTTGCAAGAGGGAAAAATTGGGCTATATATGTATACATTTACCCTCATCTGAATTTCAGTTTCCAGCAGATTTATATTTATTAATATAAAGAAATAAATTGGTTTTTTAAACATCATAGTAAAATTTCCAATGTTATTTATTTCTAGTGACCTGGTTTTAACTTTGTAAGTTAGCTTGTCAATATAAAATTAAGACATGCAGAAATTTTAGAGTGATCTCCTTGGGTGAAATCTCAGTAAAGGCCTCAATTTATAGATAATAAGATATAGTAGTCAGCAATATGATGAAGAAAAACTGTATCTGTTACATTTCTTCCTGGAAAAAGGTGTCCTTCCTGCAAAAGCTTAGGAAAGTTTTCAGTAAAAGTTATGAATTTATGCAAATATTCACAAGCCAGTGAAACAATTTGTGCACCAAGTTATGTTTTCAAATCTCTGTCAAAAGGTGAAGAAAACATGTAAACAAAACCAGAATTACATTGGGAGAGAAAAAAGTTGCTTGTAAGACTGACACATTTTTCCCCTGAATAAACTAAGGAGTTAAAGAAATCTGTAAAAGGAATTTGCACAGTAGAGGGAAAGGTTGGGGTTCCTTTGCTTTGTTTTCTTTTTCAGTTTGATTTTTTTTCCTATATATCAGTTGAAATCAAAGGAAATTTTAAGGTTAGTTTTAATCACCAGGTTAACTTGAGTGGAGAAGGTGAATCTGTCCCATTTTTGATGGAAATAGAGGATCCTGGCTAACCTTAGAAATAATTAAATCTCTTTTCGCAGTAAAGGAAAAAAAGTTTGAGCATAATTTTATAAATAGCCAGTGTTAAAAATTATTGATAATAATACTTATAACAATGATTATATATGCATGTATCAAACATATTTGTAAGAGATCATCATCTAAAAAAGTAGTAAAAATACTGGTTTTAATTTGGATATATTATTGAGGTTCGTGTGCTTGTCCTTTTTATAAGGAATACGTTCAAGAGGGAAAAATATGTTATTTCATTTGCACGGTCTGGATTCTTGAAGTCAAAAGAGATGATTCTGTTTTAATTCTTAATAAACATTAGCAGTTTTTGTATTTTTTTCTTAATTAGGATTCTTATCTGGTAATATGTACAATAACATATTAATATTATATAATAATTACATGTGTTAAACTGCCCTTGGTAATCCTTGCTTCCTGTAAATTAGAAGGCATGTATTGTTTTTTTTGTGCATTCTGTTCACCCTCTGGAAAAAAAGAAATAGGTTTTAAAAGTGGTTTATCTGATTATTTAAATAAAAGGAATAAAGTTATACATATTCTTCTTGATTCTGATATACAGCATTTCTCCAAGTGAAACTATTCTACTTTCAGAAAAGAAATTGGAAAAGACATTTCATCTCCTTTATATACAAATAATAGGCCTGATGTTTGCCTATTTGCTTACTAATATTTTGTTTCCTATTTCAGTCTATTTTTATCTCGTATATCTGAGCCACACAACAGGGTAAGATTTCAGCAGTTTCTTCCTCCAGACACATCCACTCCATCTAAAATTTTGCTGATGACCATATTATCAGTAGTTTTGTATATGTCTTATATTTTTTTAAATGTGCCATTTCTGATTTAGTAGTGCTTGTTTAACCAATAGTTCTGTCAGTTTCTTCATTTTGTAAACTGTTATTTTATAACAAAACTTTTCTTTGTAAACTTAATAATTCTCACTAGTGTGCGTGGAAATGCAGTTTCAGTCTATTTTATGTATATATTCTGCATCACAAGTATTCAACATTGGCTGTTAGGAGAATAATGAGGTTTTTGCTGTACCACAATTTAGTTACAGAGCTGTATAATTTAAAGAAGCTCCTAGATGTTTTGAGTCTTCCCAGGGCCATGCAACACCTCAGGGAAGATTTTGATTATCCGGGTTTTGAATGCAGTCTTCAAGAACATTTTTTATTCGAAGAGTTCAAGTAAACTTTTTAGTGAAAAGAACCTAAAATCCTTGCCTTACAGTTATTCCACAGATTTTCATTCTATTTTGCCATGTGATAAATGAGTACCCTTAGGATCGTAAGATAGTTCTGTTTATGGGGGTCATCAGGATGTTGAAAATCCAACTTCTAGTGGATGACAGGGTCATATCTGAGGTCAAACCAGGTTACTCAAATTTTAATCCAGCTGGTTCTTAAAACCCCAAAGATTGAGACTTCACGTCTCTGCACAGCCTGTTTCACTCTTTGACTGCCTACTTGTAGATAAAGTTTCTCTCATTTCAATTTATGTTTATTGTACCTTATCCTACCACCACAGAGCACTGTGATCAGCTCCATGGTCTTGATGAGCTCATCATCATCTAGGAGATCAGAGCCACCTCTTTGTCAGTCTGACCCATTCCAGCTCCTTCAGTCTCGATTCACAGTAAAAGTTCTCCCTCTCCCAACCACATTGCTGACTCTTCGTGAACTTGCTCCAATTAACCAATGACTTTGACTGACTGAGAAGTCCAAAATTTTGTACTGGACTCCAGATCCAGTCTCACAAGTGCTAAGGAGAAGTCACATCCCTTTGACTTCTTAGTCATGCATGTCTTGGTACAACTCAGGAAGTTCTTGGTCTTCTTGTGCTACTCGCTGATGCCCAGCATGCTGTCCAGCAGTGCCACAAGATCTTTCTCAGAAGATCTTCCCAGATCTTCCCTGCTAGTGAAGTCCCAGCCTCTAGTACTCCATGGGAGCTCTTTCTTTACAAGTGTGGGGCTTGTCTTTTGTACTTGTGGAATTTCATGAGCAAAGACAATGAAACTTTTCCTTATAGTTGGATTATTTTATAGGTCTTTTAGTTTGTCGTCTTTTGTGCATCTCTCTAGGAGAGATCATTGGGCTAGGTTTCATAGGATTCAGACAGGAATATGATGCCAGTATTGCTGAGCTGTGACTGCAGAACTAAATTTAAGTAAAGAAGACCTGATGAGAGGAAATCCTTATATGCATGGTAGTGTGGCTTTTCTAAAGCAATCACAAAACTCCTGGACCCAAAATAGTAACTGTGCTCTGTACGATGTATACTTGTTCTCCACTTCAGCTTCGTGCTGAAGGATTACAGAGATTTGCAAACGTGGGAGGGACATAGAGAAGTCAAGATGATTCCTAGTTAATTATTAGATAAATGAAAGCAGGCAAATGAAATTAGTTTTAAATATTTTATGGGATCAGGCAATATCATGACCTTGAGGTCCCACTTTCTAAAATTATTTGTTAAAAAAATGGGAACTTACTATTCAGATCAGAGGGGTTGTCACCATTTTCAAAGCAATTTTGATTGAGTAGGAGCATTTTTCATCCTTAAATCAGACTTTCATATTTCCTATAGTTTGTGCTTTGTGGTAACTTTTGCTACTAAACCAGGCTTTAGGCCAGAAAGTACAGCATATTCTTCTAATGGTGTTCTTGTTTCTTGTGAATTACCAACTCATTCCTTCCCATTTTTCTGGTTTTGGTTTTTTTAGGACTATGTTATTTGAATTAATTTTACTCAGTTCAGTGTTAAGGTTTTTTTAATACAGTATTCAATATGCTCTTCATCTCTTGGTAACAGAGTTGTCCTGTATATATATTAAACAAACAAACAAATAAATATGCATCTCTGTATATAAGTAAACATGGCTTAAAGCTGAAAGAAACTGAAACAGAAATGGAATATACGCACACACCCTTCCTCTCCCCAATTATACTATGTGGTATTATCTAAACATGCTATTTTTTCAACTTTATAATTAAGGCTGTATGATTCATCTTAATATCTTCAGATACCAGTAGTTTTGATAATTTTATTCATGTTTGTGTTACAGCGCTGGTATCTTCTGTAATAGAGGAATCTCTGACTCAATGAATTCAGGTTTCACTGAAATTTTATAATGCAGCGTCTCTGTATTAGTTAACTAAACTACTGATATTTCTTACCTAAGAAACCACCAATTAAAGCATGTGATCATATTAAAATACATCTATATTTTACTGAAGTTTTATTGAAAGATTTTATTTCTAGAATAAAGGTAAACTTTATGAAACAAACAAAAATCTGAACTTTATCCCAATATATATAAAAAAATGACAAAAACTACTCTATTTTCTGTGAGATAACTGTTCTTACCACTTATCTTTGTCATAATTGCTCTAGCTACATCTGAACTGGCCACAAGGAAAGTAGTATATATGAGCACAGATATGTGTGTAGCTGGCACTCTTTTGACTTAGTGTGTCAATTGTAATGACTCACTGTTCCTGAATTAGAAATGAAGCATCCCATTGTGCTTCCATAATAGTATATTGCTATTTATATTAAGAGGGAATTGCTTGGTTGCTTTGCACTGCTGTTTGAATAGATGGCAATATTTCTTAGTTCATATGAATTTTTTAATTATACTTACTCTTTTAAAATTAGCTTTAATCATCTTAAACAATGCTGTCATATAGG